AGAGCCCCAGCCTTACTGGGTCCGTTCTAACCTGCCTGTGTGTGTGGGTGCCTGCATGTGTGTGCACATACAACACCTGTGCTCATGTAAATGCCTGCATGTGTCCATGCATGTGTGCATGTGCCAGTGTGATCTGCTTCTGTGCATGTGCCTGCACACATGCTGCACACATGTGTGGGTATCTGCGTGACCATCCACGTGCACACCTATACACATGTCCACACCTACACAGATAAACCTTGCACACCTATACCTGTGGACACATACACATGTATGATCATGTATGTCTACGTGTGTGCACGTGCATATGTCCATGTGTGCATGTGGCAGAGGCCGTTCCTTACCAGTAGTCCCTTGAGGCCCCTGCTGTTCCTGCCCCGGATCTCACCTTCACAAAAAGAACCTCCCTGCCCAGGGTCTGCTTACAGCTGGTACTGCTTGGATCTTCCCTAAATCGCTCCAAGATGACAGAAAATGGCTTAAGTGACTTGAAAACTCACAGGGTAGGAGACAAGGAAGTCGATTTGGTTGTTACAAGTGAATTGGCCTTCATCCCGAGAATGCCATCTCCCTGCTGGACCGCACTGCTGCCCCTCCCTGGTGTGGCCCTGTGTGCTGGGTCTACAGCATTCAAGTGACTCGTGGGCCGGGCACCACCCCACAATTCCTCCTCCCGGGGCCTTTCTGTATCGCCGCCATTTCCGGCCACCAAGGGGCACCCCAGAGGGTTTGGCCAGAGGGTCTGGCTAAGGTAAAGGGGGGTCTACCGTCTGAGAGAGCTGAGAGAGAGGAGGGTCCTCTCCTGAGAAGACCCACCGGGTGATCTGATAAATGCCCTTGACTCCCTGCTGCCTCTGGGTCTGTGGTCTCAACCCCCGGCCCAGATGGCGAGAACCTCTGAGCAGGAGCCACGGTGTCTGTGTTCACCACTCAGCAGAGAGACGGCCCAAGGAGGAGAGGGGAGCATTTGCTGAGCACCTGATGAGAATTCCCCCAATAGATAATATCTGGCTCCATCACCACCCCGTACCCTACCCCACAACCCCCCGTGGGTCCACAGAAGGCTACGTGCTCCCTCGGGTCATGACAATCCCAACCCACGCTGACTGCGGGTGTTCTTGAGCCCCCCACCTGCTCGTGGTACTCGACGCCCATGCTCAGTGTGTTGGTGAGGATGGCCACCATGATGCCGCGGTTGAAGTACTTGCTGTCCACGATCCTGCGCAGCTTACTGCCGATGGCGGCCCACACTCGGGTCAGCCCGCCCTGCTCGCCAGAGCCCACCTGCCGCTGTGCCCGCCTCCGCGTGCTGCCCTGGCCTGGCGTGTCTGCTGCTGCGGGAGGCTGCATGGGGTCACGGCGGTCCCCGTGCCGCACGTCCTGCGTGAACTCATAGACCGCGTTGCTGTCTGAGTCTCCGCCCTCTGAGTCGCTGAACTCAAACTCGGGGTCTCCCAGAGCGCTGGCGCAGTATGGGCAGTTCTTCAGCTCACAGGTCAGCGTGCCCGCCTGGGGGCTGGGCAGCGGGCAGGGCACGCTCAGGCCGGACAAGCGGCTGGGAGCCTGGCCCAGTCCTGAGGGGAGAAGGGCACAGGCAGGGTCAGGCCACTCAGTGGCCACACCTGGGGCACCTGGGACCCACACTCACTGAGAGGCTATTGTGAACAGTTCACGTGTGCACACCTGGACACGCTCATATGGAGGCAACACACAACTCTGGGCACACTCACATATATACCTGAGCACACTCATATGTGCCCTGCATAGGTGTGCCCTGTTCATACTCATGGGCAGAGACACGGAGGGGCCACACTGTCCAGAGATGTAATAGGAGCCACTTTCTAGCAGCCATGTTAGGCAGGTGAAATTAACTTCCATGTTGCACGTAACCTGATACGTGAAAACCATCATCACTCCGACGTGGATCAAACACGGGGATGACTGAGGAGTGCTGGGCACTGACTCCTCGTGCTCAGTTTCTGGCACTGGCTGCACTCTGTCCTCAGAGCTTTGGCTTGGACTCGCAACCCCTCAAAAGCCTGTAAGGCCGGGCCCACCTAATAGGCAGTGCAAGGCTGAAAGTATATGCACTATGCATGCCACGCCGGCTCTCACAGCCCAGGCACGGTGCACGAGGGCAGGCACAGTGGCCCTGGCACACATCCCTACCCACTCCAGCTGCACCAGTCCACACACCTGACACACCTCTTGGGGGGGGCCTCAGTTTGCATGGGACCCCGTGTCTCTCCCCGTCAACCACTCATCTGAGGTGGGTAAAACAGAGGCCCCAGGTGGAAGAATGGTGAGGGGCACCTGGCACTCCTCCCCAACCTTTAGGGGCACTGTGACCTTGATTCCTCCCCACCCCGAAGAGGGGACGACCATTCCTCAGAAGTGGCCAGGCAGTGAATACAGGAGATAGTCCCTCTCAGAGTCAGGTGGGGGCCACACCTGCCAGCTCCAAAATTCTCACAGCCACGTGATAAACACTCTTGCTTCACTGAGCAACAGTTATTTGGGGCTGCTACAGGGTGGACGGGGCGGGGAACCCTCTCCCCGCTCTCTGCCATGTCACAGCCCGAGGCGCCCAAGCCCCCACTTCCAGGGCGCAAAAGGAAAAAGCTGGGCTAATGAGGGTACCCATGACTTCCCCGGAAGGCACGTGGGCGGGGATGTCCCTGGGTCCCATTTCACTCTCAGCAGGGTGAGACTGGGGTACTTACCGTGTTCCCCAACCAAATGCTGGATCTTCTCATAGGGGTCATGGCTGCTTAGGCTGAGGGGGCTCTGCCTTCCGGCTCCCGGTGGCTTGCTGGCCCGCTTTCCCTTGAGCCCAGGACTGGTGCCACCTTTGCCACCACCTACTGCCGAGGGCAGGATGGTGGGGTAGTTCATAGCACCCAGCCCCGTGGCCAGCTTCAAGCTGGCAGCAGTGGCCACAGCTTGCACTGCCCGGGCCCTCTCCTGCGGGCCCTCCACGTGGCAGTCTGCATGATACACGCTGTGCACTGACTCAGCGTCAGGTGGCCCATGGCCGGGGGATGGTGGTGAGGGCAGCACTCCGGCCCGCACCAGCTTGCCACCTCCAGTGCCTGGCTGGGGGCTGGGCCGGCGTGGGCTGCCATGGCTGAAGTGGTAGTGGTGGTGGTGATGGTGGTGGTGGTGGTAGACCAGGTGGTGGATGGAGGCTGTGCGCCTGCCCACCCGCCGTGGCCGGTGGCTGGTGCCCTGACCGTGCAGGGTGCTGGTGGGGTCCACCTTCTTGCGCCAGCGGCTCTGCCAGCGGGCATAGAAGCGCAGGCTGCGTCTCTTGACTTTGCGGCAGATGTGGCCCACATACTTGAGCAGCTCCTCGTAGCAACTGCCCGGCTCTGAGAAGCTGGCCAGTGTGCTGTCATCAGACAGGTAGCGGGCGCGCTGCTCCCGCATCAGCTGGTTCTCTCGCTGCTTTGTCTCTGAAAACTGTGTGGCGATCACCACCAGACACAGGTTGATCATGAAGAAGGAGCCCACCTGTGGTGGGCACACAGTGGTGAGCCTCCCGGCAGCCCGTGCATAGCCTTGCTCACCGAGCTGTGTGCCCCAGGGAACCGGGGAAGAGGGACATGGAGACCCGCCCACCCTGGAGACCGGGGCAGCGGCCGTGGTTTCTACTTGACAGTGGTCGAGTCCCCGATGAGATAAACACCGAGGCCTACTACGTGCTGCCCATTCCAGGGACCAGGGATACGGTCCCAACTGTGGCTGGCATGGGTGCCCAAGAGTGGGCGGGGTCCCTGCTGATTCGATGCTGAGCCCCAGCATCTGGGACAGGCAGAGTGTAGTAGGTGCTTCTCGCCTATTTGTGGGCAGATGCAGGACACATGAGGAGACCCTCCTTCCCGTCGTCTGTGAGGCTTGCTCCCTCTTCCTCAGGTCTGTCCCTGATGAGACTCTCTCAACTTCGGCCACCCTACCCCAGTTGGGCTTTCCTCTGTGGCAGGGTCACCATGCAACACTCTCCTCTGCTCGTGAAAACTGAGACGAGGAGGGATGTCTGCCTGTTCTGTTCACTGCTGGGTCCGTGCAGACTGCCTGGATCGAGTGAGGGCCACACCTGGGGCCACGTACAATGTGGAGGGCCCATGACTCAAAGAGGGTCCTAATTCTCCTGCAGCCTCTGGATTAAGACCTGGCCACGGGAGGGCTGTCTGAGGCTTCCCGGAAGTGAGCTCTCCCCTCCCATCCACACTGACTTGTCCGCCCGCCCCTACCTACTTCCTCTCACCCAGGGCTGCATAGAAGCCCCTTGCTCCACCACAGCCCCCGCACTAGCCTGCCTGGCAGCCTGAGGGCAGCCCTGGATCTCTGCTGCCCCTGCCCTGCAGGTTAGCCAATTCAAGAACCCATGAGGGACAGCAAAGACCAGGATGGTACGAGTAGGCTCAGAACAGGCCCTAGGGGCCAGGATGATATCCACTACAGAGCTTAGAGATGGAGCTTAGAGATCTGAGATTAGCTGTTACAACACAGACACACCTCCACCCACTAACACCCGTGGCTGCGAACATCTTGCCTTGTCTTATACTCACAATGATGAGCAGAATGAAGTAGATGAAGTTGTAGAAGGAGTGGGCGTCCATGACGTAGTACATGATGTCCACCCAGCCCTCCAGCGTGATCACCTGGGGTGGGGGGCAGACAGGTGGACACACAGATAGCCCTAGGAGAGTGGCCCTGGGTGGGTAGCAGGGAACTTCCTCACCTGCGTCCCCTTGGGGTTAGGCTGTGGGGTTGGCAGGGCTGGCGGAGCAAGTTAAGTCCTGCTTGGGCACCCCACCCCTCGCCCTGCACACTCGGCACCCAACGTGATGGAGAAATCGAGGCCACGGGCCATGTAGTCCAGAGCTGCAGCCCACCTGGAAAATGGCAATCCAGGCGTAGCCAATGTTGTCGAAGTTGATGGCGCCGTTGTGAGGGTTGAAGTCACCAGAGCGGCAGACGTTGTAGTACTGATTCCAGTTGATGCACGCGTTGTGGCCGGCACCGCCCATGCCCTCGGCCTGCGGTTGCCCATAGGCCTCCCAGCCCAGCGTGCACTCCACGCGCAGCTCGCGGCGGCTGGGGATGTGTGAGCACTTCTGCATGCCGTTGTCACGGCGCGAGGAGCAGATGAAGGGGTTCTCGTCGCCCTCCTCCGTCTGGTAGTACGGCCGCAGGAAGGTGAGGTTGCTGTTCCTGGGGGCAGGTGACCCCGTGTGGGGAATGGGAACAGAGACAAAGAAAAAGAAAGGGAACGGGGAGGGTGAGGGAGACACAGTGGGAGATACAAACAAACAGAAAGATAGAGACAGAGAAACGTAAAAGGATAGAAACATAAAAACAAAGATGAGAGACAAAAACTCAGGTCCAAGATAGAGATATTCTAAGGAGTGCCCTTGGGGGTGGGGCTAATAGGGAAGAGCCTGCTGGGGGGTGGGCACTGGAGGGGAGGCACTTCTGTGTGCAGGCTGCCCAGAAGAGCCTTTGGGG